TTCATTCATTAGTCTAAAAGTAGAGTCATTCGCGATTTCGCGGTTTTCGCGTCATATTACAGCAACGGGGCCACCGGTAAGTTTAAACGTGGTCTCGCATCGTGGGACTACGGTCATCTCGTCGTGAGCGCACACCCTTCGCATCGTGGGACAGTAAAGGTAGGTTCCTGATTGCTACGTGGGACTGGAGTTGAAGATACATCGATGGACGGCGAGGGACTACGCGCAACGGTACGTTATTATAAATAATTTATTCTTCTGACATAAAAAGCACCTCACTGTTACAAAAGTTGCTTTTTTATATATATTATCTTTAAATTCTCTTTAAATTCTCTTTAAATAGTCTGGAAAAAAATATCCTTCATATATGGACATATTCTATATCTCTGTGATGATGTTTAATTAAATACAATAATGATATATGAGATCTTTTCAATCTCATATAAAATTATTATGTATACCTAGATATAGAATTTGAGCATATATAAAGGAAAAATAATAATTTAGAATTAAATAATCGATTATGTTTCATATCTCTACCATGAAAATTTTTGAGAAGAATAAATTATTCTCTGCATGAGTAGTAGTCGCACTGATTTTTCAATATATCGTCACTCAATGCAATCTCGTAACTCCAAAACGCACATTTTAGAGAAGACCAGTTTAAAAGTTTAAAGCTTCATATAGTTTTCCTAGTTAAGGGATCTTTCGGTTTCAAATTTTTACTTTACTTAGAAATATTTTTTTAAAAATTTGGTGATCATAAAGAACATGACTTTCTTAACTTGTTACTATGCAATAAACTGAAAATCCGGTATGTGACACTTATGTAATTATACGTAGAGAGTGACGATATATTCTTTTTTGATAAAATGTCTATTTAATCTTGTTCGATTAAATAGCGGTGTTGCGTCAAGATCTTCTTCATAAAATGTTTCCATCATTTTCCGATAAGATACGTTGCCAAATTATGTTAGAAAAGATTTCTTGCACGAGACTGACTGTCAGTTTTACTAAGTAGAAAAGTGATTCATCCCTAAAAGACAAAAATTATTTTGTCCTGAAGAATTGTTTCCTCCTCAGATTTTTGTAATTAAAAATCGTTGCGTTTTTTTTTTGTCTAATAATTTAGACAAGTGACTGATTATAAGCACTGATTATTTCACTGTATCACGGTTTGAGAAACTTAATACTGACATGGCTATGATTTAGTATCTTGTCTATTAGTAAGCAAATATAACTCTCGTCAGCGTTCAGCTTTGATTCCCGTGTATTTTCACGCTTCCGCGGTCATTAGACGCGTATCGAAACACACCGACATTCGGCGCCGGGCGCGGTTAACGCACCGCTCAGTTTCAATACAAAACGATTTTAATTGCTCACGATAATTAAAGGCGTTATTGTTGCACACGCGCCAGCCGGAAATACAAAGATTCGGCGGATGCAAGTTGGCAACGAGAAAGAACTGAGAAAAATTGTTAATATTCGCGTTCTATTCGCCACCGACGTTTTCACAAACGCCTTGACAAATATCTTCGCGCGTCGAACCATTTTTGCAATAGTTGTTAAAAATCAATATAAATATAAATTCAAGGCATAATCGGTTAAAACATAATTTTTGTTTTTAATATAATCCGTGTTTTTTTAATTTTCTATTTTTTAGTATCATAAAAAATGTATACTTCTTTTCCATCGTAAATAAATTTATAGTAACAGGAAAAAGTAAGATATTGTAACAATTAAGATTTACGAGATCGTCTATTCTTTATTTTCAAGTATATAAATATTTTATCGGAGTTTAATAAATTATACAGATAAAGACTAACTGTAAGTTTCGAAATCACATATCGCCTCGTACGCCATTGTGAGAATAAATCCTCCATTTCGCACAAATCTCTTCGCTTCGTGTTCCACAAATCTTGAATCTCTTAATGCCTGAAATACGGGACCGCTTAACAGCGCATCGAATCCAACACACACGAATAACTGTGATTTATCGACGCGGGAGAATCAAACACGCTTTGCGGATGCAATTGGACAGACGCGCACGCGGTTTCGTAAACGCTCGGATGAATTTATGGTTAAAAACGAAATCTTCCTGAAGGGATGGCGCGGATTTTTACTGCGCTTACATTACGAGCGGTGCAATTTTGCATTATTTTACTAATTGCCATGTGAATGTTACATATCGCCGTAAAAAAAACAATGACACAATGACAATTATACTTTATATATATACATATGTGTGTGTGTGTATACATATAGAGGCAATACTCTAATATTCAACCCTCATAAGTCAAACAGTACTTAATAAAAATAAACTTTAATATAGTTTTGTAAAAAGCTCCAGAATTAAGCTATAAGAATCTGCAATAAAAAACAGGATATTTCATTTAATTTTATTTAAATTCAAGATGATCTTGTTCTGACCTTGACGATGTCATTCAAGATCAAACTAATAAGATCAGTAAATAGATTCTTTAAAACCCTACAACTTTAATTTTTGAAACACTTTTTCATAAAACGTCTAGTTTTCGAGATTTTTTGCAGTACCGGTACATTTTACACCCTGTATATTTTAACCGCAATAATTTTTACATCAACCTAATGTTTATTTTCTCACGTTGTGTAATCTCTTCATTTAAATCTTTTATTTTTTTCTCGTACAATTACAAGATGCAAACGTGGATTTAAAAATAATCATACAATTCAGTCTAACAAATGGAAACAACGGTCTAGCGTATTGCTATTGTTATTTAATTTCGCGCTGAGCGATTTTGTAACCGACGATGTCGAGGCAACGACGCATAGCATTGAAAGTGACGCCATGTAGTTTTTCGGATTTTCTGACAACAATAATCGACAAAAAAGCTGGGAAAAATTGAGAGGAAAAAATCCCTGCGCAAAAAAGAAATTTGTGAGAAAGCTTCGCGACGTGAATTACAAAACGAATCGACTGACGTTGACCAAAACCATCTTCGAATTTTTATGTACCCGCGTGTGTACAAAAGATGACTAGAAATGTAAACTAAAAATTACCAAAAAAACAAATGTAATTTCGTATATTTCCTATGCGCTTAACTGAACTTATGTATAATAAAAGACAATTTTATATATAAAAATGTAGCTTCTGTTCTTTTTATAGTTTTAGATATTTTTAAATGAAAAGATACGCTGTCTGCGACTCACCCTGTACATAAATACGACAAGTACTCACACACGTGCATGCGCGTGTTTTTATCTTTTTACAAAACGCGCTTTATTGCTTTTCTCTCTTTCTCTCTTTCTTTGTTTCTCTCTGTCTCTCTCTCTCTTTCTCTTTCTACTTCTCCTTCTTTCTCATTTGGTTTTGTCTAACGAGGGTCGCCACGGAAACCGGCTTTCATTAGCTCCATTCATAGCGTTCTACCGTGCGTTCCAAGAGAAACTAGATAAAAGATGTTTTCCGAGCTGTGCGCGCTAAAACCTTCTCGCGCGGGAGGGCAATGCCAAATCATGCTGAAAACGTTCCTTTGTGCAAATATCCTTCGGAGGCACTCTCACGCATTCGCTTACCGCGAGAGCGTACCTAAGTCAGAGGTAAAAGCAGCTTTTGCTACGTAAAATACGTGGGTATATCTCGCGACACGTTCGCGTTTTTCCAGAGATTGCAACTTGTGTTCCCACCGCCGGTTATATCTGCATTCTGCGTAGTCATGGCACGGACACGTTGACCTCGATTTCAATATGTGTAATACCCTCGAGTACACAAATGCGGCACGCAAAAAACCGCGTAAAAAATTCCGTGTACATCTTTTTATATTAAGCGTTTAATAGATTTTTTTACAAGCACACAATTTGCATCTTATTTAATTAAACCACCAAGTGCGTAGGGATGCGGCGATAATGCTTTAAATGGTCGCATCTGCGGCCACGACCGCGACTTGCCCTTAAGGCACTGGAACCCGAAAGGTACCGCAAAACAACACCGCAGAAGCCACATGAGAATCGGAAGAGCGAGAGGGCGGAAGTTCCAGGGTGAAAAGTTACACGCGCGCGAGAACTCACGCGAGAGCTTCAAACGCGCGTCGCACCGGGATCGTGTGATTATGATGCGGGTGCATTATCCGCTGTCCTGCGCGCAAGGACTCCCTCGCAAACGTACGTACGTATACGCACGTATAAACTCGCGTGTGTCGGTAGCGCACGACGGCATCGACACAACCGTAAACGCGCGCGGGAGGATCGAGCGAGCGAGCGAGCGAGCAAACGAGCGCCGCACAACGAGGCGCCTCAGTCGACCAGCACCCTCCGTAACCGACGCTTCGTTCGCGTCGTGCGTCGTTTTCCGTCTCACCGACCGTCGCACCGGAAAGAAGGTGCTAGGATCCCACCTGCCGGAGTGTTTATCTCTCGGTCACGCGAGATTGCTCCAAAACACAGAGAGAGATTTCAGAGTGTGCATTTTGTCAAAGTGCGATCTTTCGTATTTTGCGTGCGAAAGAGCGATTAAGGGGTACACGGTGCGTACCTGCGCGTAAGAGTGTATTAGATCTCTCTTTCTCTCTCTCTCTCTCTCTGTGGTCTACAAGAGTGCGAGTTGCAGTATGCGCTACCGTCAAATTTGAGGAACTCCATCGAGGAACGTTGACCTCTGAAGCAAAATTTGTAGCATCTCAGCATTGTTTTGAATACTGTAAGTAATTTTTAATATTGAACAAAAAGTTGTATTATTTTTAATTCTTGTTACAATCTGTCGAGCCAAATTACTTATGTAAGTGATTATAGTTTCGGAGTAACACTTACGTATTAAAGATTTATTTAATTATACATAAATTTATTTAATTATAATAATTATTTATTTAATTATATTGTAACTAATTTTAAAATTAAATAGATTTAAGAAATCATGATTTGAAAGAAATCCGCGTCAAATAATACACTAAATATATTTTATCAGTACTTCAATTAAAATAATTTAAAGCAACTGAGTTAACATTCTAAAACAATTTAAAATATAGAAACACATATACTTTTCAATGAAAATATAATAAATTTTATGATTTAAAACGTGAGAATACCTAACGTATTTATTTGTGACAATAACACACACAGTATCTCGTCTGAAGTTGTATTTTGAAACAATTTCACCAATGCAATAAAAATGACGCGATAATAATGTGTGTTATAAAATATAGTTAATACATATAATAAAAAATAAATTTTTAATAAAGTGATAAAACCCACAACCTATCCAACATGTAGATTAAAATATTTTTTAGCAATCTATTTCATATTTTATCGAATCCGAACATCAAGTATCTACGTGAGAGATACTTCGCCTTGATTACAACCATTATCCATTTGTTGCCTAGAATCAAGTCTGATTTTAAAACTGGAGGGAAACGTCACGTCGCGTGTCGTCACGAACGGAAGAGACGAGTTTGAGAACGAGCATTTTCATGAAACTTGACCGCAATTAAATTTCAATTGTATCCTACTTGAAGAAAAAAATTCTCTGTATTATATCGTACACGTGAATTACACAGGATATCCGTTGGTGTAAGGAAAGAATCCCAGGGATTGAACTCGTCTAGTGCGCGCCGTTCGTACAATGCACGAGCGCAAAAGCAAAACCATTCAAAGACGTCTCCGAACTGTGTGACGTCATCCGTTATATTTGAATTCCTTGCGCATTCAGTCGCAAGTAGTTTTTCAGCTTACGTAAGTCGAACGTTCCTTTCGTAAATCCTCTCGGCACTTTCGGTGATATCGTGTATCAATGGAACTTCGGGGAATGCTCGAAAGTCGAACGTTTTTCTCACCGCATCTCTTTGCGCCGTCGTCGATTCAATTGAAACTTCGGGTCGTCAATATCTTCCAAAATACAATAGCCGTACGTTCGCGCGCGCAGTCAATTCATCTCGCTTAAACAGCTCTTCGAATCTCAATTCAAATTCATTCACCTTTTCGAGTTCTCGACTTCGTTTTATCGACGTTGCGCGGACGACGTCGGTGCTTGCGAGCACCTGGTTTGTATCCCCCTTGCCGAATTAGTTCCGGCCGCTCGTAGACTTGCGAGGGAGTCGGAAGCATCGTGGAATCGAAGGTATCCGGTTCGTTGAGCTCGTTAGAGAAACGCGAAATCTGCATTCGCACGGGTACTTTCCGCTAACGAGGATAACGAAGCGTGCGTTAACGGAGAACCAACGACCGTCATTGCGCCCGTGAAGACGGATGCGTGTACACATATAGGTGTGTACACGTAGATGTGTGTACGAAATGTGCATAAGAGAGATCTGCTTTTCCACCAAACCTCGAGAGGTTTTTTAAACACAACTTTTTCGAGATAAGATATGATGAGTAAGATCCGATGAAACTCGAACTTTTACTAACTACGGGAGCAAAGTTTTATACGTATATATACAATATATATATATATATATATATATTTTTTTTTTTTTAAGCGAGCGAAGTTTTGCCGATAAACGTCGATTCTGTACATTCTCCATAAACTGCATCCGCATTCAAATTTTATCCCACGAACGCAACCCAGTTTCGTAACTTTGTAACGCAGTCAAATTCCAATTTTGAAACTGCGATTATTCTTCATTCAACGGTCATACGCGAACGGGGAAATGCGCACGAAGGACGCGCGCGTTTCCGGAAGAAAGACGTTGAACCGTCTAGAGACAAGATCATTATCTTCCCAACTACGAGGAAGCAATTTCTTGTGAGTTACACAAGCATCCGAGTACAAACGCGGACGTGTCTATATAGGCGCAAATAACACGCGGTGATTCTGCGTGAAAGACGGAAAGACAAAACCGGATTTGGTATCAATCTTTCGTCGTGGTTTGCATCGTTGTTGTTTCTTCATCACGCGCTTCTCTTTTTCGCGTGAGAAAACGGATATCCTGTGGATGATGTTCACAGATCGGGTGTGCGAGAAAAGTTTTCCGCGAGGAAAACGTTATTTCCACGCGCGCGAACGTAATGCAAAACACGTTTGTTGAAGTTCGAAACGTTCGCCGAAAAATTCTATTTCGACGAAAATATTTCGGACGTTTTTTTTACAGACACGTGTGAATGCAAAGAAATTCTATTCGAATCTCGTAATACAAAATTAAAAAGTGTAAACGATAACTTCGATATATTTTTGGCGATAAGAGAAATATTTCAATTTTTCAGCAAAACTGACGCACGCGTTTTGCAAGCAGGCGTAACGAACTCGGCAATCGAGTTCTGCGGCGCGCAGAAGTCCATTAATTGCAGTTCTCTGATTCAATTCCGCGCGCCTTCAAGAGGGGCTTGAAATCGAGCAGATAGTCTTTGCACAGCCGGACGTTTTTACGCTCGTAAATCTTTCCGCGGGTGTTTCGCCTTTCTGCGAGCAGCAAATGCGTGTTTCGCAATTTGCGCTACAATTAAATCGAAGGAAAACATTATCTGCGGATAGATAGGTACTGCCGAACGATCACGCAGAGAGAGAGAGAGAGAGAGAGAGAGAGAGAGAGAGAGAAAGGGAGAAAACTAGTAGAAAAGACGAAGAGAACGCGATCAATCGCGGCGTATCTTGAATTATTAGGGCCGATTCGATGCAATTACGGTACATACAAGAGAGAAACCGTGTTTCCGTAACGTGTGCGCGAGAAATCGCCGGATGAGGGCGACCGGGAGCGAAAAAAAAAGAACACAGCTTGTAGCAATACCTTATTCCCAGATAGCAAAACCGATGTGTGTATGTGTGTGCACGCGTACGTGTGTGTATCTCGGTGGTTCTTATCACGGTCGATCGGAGCGTAGCGCACATTAAAACGCTCGCACAATCGGAACGTGTTCGCGCGACACGTTCGTCGTTGCTAATTAATTCGCCCACGATTCTCACGCACGCGCGCGCGTATCGAGGTGGAATCACGCGGTATTATTCTTGATGACGGTGTACCCGTTTTGCGACGATACATTTGATTCGCGGTTTTCTTTAAAATTATCGTCACGTATGTTAACAGGACATTGTTCGTTAGTAAATGTTTTCTTCTAAATTTCTTGTCAAAAAAAGTGACAAAGGTGTAAAACAAAATATAGAAATTGCATCTATTTGTTGGTTTGATGTTACTTTGCTCTGTGTGTGTGTGTGCATGTTAACAAGAACGCCGGACATTGGAAGAATTGGACCACCGAAAAACTACGAAAAAGCTACGCGAGTTTTGCGCCGCGCGCATTTCACTTGCAAATGGAGACTCACACGGAAGACCGGATCTGTCGCTTTTTGCTGGATTTCTCGTCGTTCCGACACGCGCTCACATTCGTTATCGGCGCCATCGCGATAACGATCGGAAGAGCTTGTTTCCTCTGAAATTTACTGCGACACTAGATCGAACATAACCGAACCGGTAGTCTCCACATCGCAGCGCAGCTCTTGCGTATTTTATGGTAACCGGATGAACGATCGGTCTTAACTTTCAATCGCGCATGGAGACACGCGGAACCGCAAAAAAGAAAAAAAAAACAAACAGAGAAAACGAATCAAGAGAGAGAAAGAGAGAGATAGAGAGGGAGTGCGATATGCGGGAAATCGTATCGTCGATAAGTCGCCTATGTCTGCCTTCGACACACATGGAAATTAGATCAGCATGTCACGCACACGTGGCGCGAGCACGCGAATTGCCGTGTTTCGCGCGTACGTGCACACGCGAAGTTTCTGAATCCGCAATCTCATCTCGCGTAGTCGAGACGTTTTACGAGTGTGTCGTGACTCCGAGGCTCAAAGCGGCAAAGAAGAAAGTTGAAAGTCGCGATAAAACAAGATATAAATGTTAAAAATAAAAATTGATAACACAACTATATAAACGTTTTTTCAGTAATGATAAGTTGTACGACGAGGGACAAGTGCATTCAAATTGGTTCTTTAGAGATTAATATCGTACGAGAAAGAGATTAGTACGTTTGTCAAAGCCGCCGCGTTCCGTCGCGATGAATAGTCGAATCGAGACAAGTAATCGCATGATAATAATAATTGGGTTATCATCGCAAGATCAGTACTTTTGACGATTCCTCATTGGAACGCTTTTTCCGGCAAGGTTGTCTGAATCTCGGTCGCATCACAGTATAGCGGTATAACTTTGTTCATTAATACGTTATCACGGTAATACAAATTAACGGTAACTGCGCTCATTAATCACGACAGTTTCCTCATTATATTAAAACTGGAACTATACGAGCGGCCGAGAGTCAAAAACACGTGGCTCAGATAATGACACTTGGGACTGCCGGAACAAACGCGCGTTGTCACTCGCCTAGAACGTTCCGATAAGTGAAAATATAAACTTCTGTATTCTTCCTCGTGAAATGTTACAATGGGAAGAAAGTGGCCAATACGAGGCAAAAACCAGATCTTCGGGTTAATAAACTTCTTTATTTGAAGAAATTTTTTTATAACAAACGTTTTGACCCTAAATTTGGGTATGAATTTTAAACACTGAGGAAGACCCAAAAATTTAAGGTCGAAACGTTATAAAAAAAATCATTTTCAAATAAAGAAGTTTATTGATCCGAAAATCTGGTTTTTGTCTTATATTGGCCACTTCCCTCCTATTATAAAAATATAAACATACTCTAAAATATAAACCTGCTTCCTAAAACTATTCGGAAACATAAACCGTTGCTTACAGCTTGGCCTATAATTGTACAAAGACG